GTTTTGGGTCAACAGGGGGAGATGTTTCTCAGAATACTGGTCTCTCTCTCTCTCTCTCTCTTGCTCTCTCTCTCTCTCTTTTTCATATAATTTCAACAGTCAACAAAGTTCTTGTTCTTAAATGAACTGCCTCCTCCTGCCTCACGTAAATACTTCACTATTTTTTAATAACTATTGTAAAACTATAATTATTCAGACTCTTAAAAAATTGATTTGTGTTGCTTTTTGAGGACTTCCTGGATTACATGTGGAAGCTCATCACATCGGCACACCCCACCCACCTGTAATAGTGTAAAGGAAATGTAAATGCTCTAAAATGAGACAGACTCACTCAGGCTGTACATCAGAAGGATGTATTGTACTTGTGGACTCTGCATGTTCTTCATTTTGTTTTTTGGTAGGACATTTTTTAAAAGGCATATAACCACAACTCAGGAGAAGTTAAAGCAGTTACTGAAATTGAATGAATGAATGATTGAATGATTATCAGCTCACAATCCATTGAAATTATAGTGTTTTTATCTTTTTAAATTTTGACAACTGTTTCTTTTTTGCTTCAACAGGAAAGGCAAACTGTGTGACATTTCAACAGACTCCATCGACCCTAGTCACTGAAACAGAAAACATTACAATCAGTTGTAGCCATGATGACAATAACTTAGATCGTATGTATTGGTATCAGCAAAACAGCCGTACAGTTATGGCACTGATCGGATATACCTTAACAGCTACGAGTGATCCAAAGTACGAGGACAAATTTAAAGATCGGTTCAAACTGAGCAGACAGAGCACACTTGCAGGAAATCTGACTATCTATAATCTCCATCAGTCAGACTCTGCTGTTTATTACTGTGCAGCCAGTAAGCACAGTGCTGCACATTTACACAACAGCCTTACTAAAACATAACACACATCAGAGGTTTGTTATCTGGAGTGTTTTTCCTATTACCATCTGGTGTTTTATATGCATATGGTTACTGAGCTCCACTATGATTATTTTAATTTTAATACAAATGAAGCTAATGATGTTATGATGTAAACAACAGTAGATCTTGTTTTTTTTAATTCTCTGACTTTATTTGTTAATTCTTTAATCCTGAATGGGCAAATCCCAACAGCCATGCTCCAAAATCTAGTGGAAAGCCTTCCCAGCATAGTGGAGGCTGTTATAGCAGCACAGGGGCAACAACTTATAATTAATGCGCATGATTTTAAAATGTTCAAAAAGCACATGAGTGGGATGGTCAGATGTCCACATACTTTTGGGCATACAGTGTACATGCTTTCCAAATATGATGTGTAAAGGGAATCTTGTTCATTCATGTTCCACTCTATTTACCATGCAGTGCACAATAAAGGTCACATTAATTAATGAACATCATATTCCATGCTGGCTTACAAAATGGTATATGTGGCATATGAAGATTCTATATCATTTGACAGTCATTGGAATGTCAACATATGAATATATTTAGGAATGCTAAGCCTATATAGCCTAGCTGAACCATGAGTGTTACATAACTGACCATATGAAAATGCTCTTAAAACTGCATAAATAAGCTGCATGTAAATGTTTTGTCGATGTGACAAAGTTGGTTTCAGGATTGTTAATTCATAGGTTCCCAACTCTCATCTTAGCATACCCACTCTTGCACCTCATGTTTTCTCTGGTCTCAACACACCTAATCAGCTGACTGACAGCCCTGCATGAGTTGAAGTAGGTGTGTTAAAGCAGGAAGACACTAAAAATGCAGGACTGGAGGTTCTCCAAGTCCACAGTCAGAAAACATAGTGTTAACAGTTTTATTACCATTTAGTGTTTTTATTCAATAAAACTCAGCACCATTTTAAAAATGTTGTTTTAAGTAACTACTCAAGTTATTTAGAGAGTCCTTGTCATTTGAGTCTTAATCAGTTATTCTGCTGGTAATGAATTTTGAAAAGAAAACTTTGTTCAGGTTCACTTGCACATCTCTAGTATAAATGCAGTTTTGGGTCAATAGGGGGAGATGTTTCTCAAAATACTGGGATCTACTCTCTATCTCTCCTCTCTTTCTCTATCTCTCTCTCTCTCTCTCTCTCTTGCTCTCTTTCTCTCTCTATTTCTCTGTTTTTCATATAATTTCAACAGTGAACAAAGTTCTTGTTCATAAATGAACTGCCTCCTCCTGCCTCATGTAAATAGTTCACTATTTTTAATAACTATTGTAAAACTATAATTATTCAGACTCTATTTAAAAAATTGATTTTTATTGCTTTTTGAGGACTTCCTGGTTTAAATGTGAGTGGAAGCTCATCACATCTGCACACCCCACCCACCTGTAATAGTGTAAAGGAAATGTAAATGCTCTAAAATGAGACAGACTCACTCAGGCTGTACATCAGAAGGATGTATGGTACTTGTGGACTCTGCGTGTTCTTCATTTTGTTTTTCGGTAGGACATTTTTTAAAAGGCATATAACCGCAACTCAGGAGAAGTTAAAGCAGTTACTGAAGTTGAATGAGTGAATGAATATCAGATAATATTGACTCTAATCCATTGAAATTATAGTGTTTATCTTTTTTGACAACTGTTTCTTTTTTGCTTCAACAGGGAAGGCAAACTGTGTGACATTTCAACAGACTCCATCGACTCTAGTCACTGAAACAGAAAACATTACAATCAGTTGTAGCCATGACGACAGTAACTTAGATTGCATGTTATGGTATCAGCAAAACAGCCGTACAGAAATGGCACTGATCGGATATACCTTTACAGCTACGAGTGATCCAAAGTATGAAGGCAAATTTAATGATCGGTTCAAACTGAGCAGACAGGGCAATACTAAAGGAAGTCTGACCATCTATAATCTCCATCAGTCAGACTCTGCTGTTTATTACTGTGCAGCCAGTAAGCACAGTGCTGCACACTTACACAACAACCTTACTAAAACATTACACACATCAGAAGTTTGTTATCTGAAGTGGTTTTTCTATTACCATCTGGTGTTTTGTACGCATATGGTACCTGATACCTGAACACCATTATGATTATTATTTTTACACCTATGAAGCTAATGATGTTATGTTGTAGATAACAGTAGAACTTTTTTTTATTCTCTGACTTTAATCCTTCTCAAAAATGTAGGTCTGCAAGCACACCTCCTAAACAAAAACCTACATGAGCTGGACATCAATTACAATGGAAATAGTTCCTAACATCCCAATATTTATCCTTGCAATGTATTACAGTTTTAGATAGATATCAGACTTTAAGTTCCTCTGCTTCAAAGGTTAATACTTAGAAATCTTAAGAATACAGAGAAATTGCAAGAACTGCATGCTAATTTTAACAAAATTATAATTTAAATACTATGATTTTGTAGAGACCTCAAAATTTTTTGCCTTTAATGCTTTTAGGGGATTTCCTGGTTTGTATGTGGATGCTCAACACACCCCACCCCTCTGTAATGGTATAAAGTCTCATATCAGTGTGCTCACTCAAGCTGTGCCTCATAAGGATGGATGGTTCTTGTGAACTCTGTGTGTTCTTCATTTTGGTTGTTGGTAGGACATTTTAAAAATGCTGCATCACATTGATTTTTGTCTTTGATTTGGATTCTTATTGAAGATTGACAACTATTTCCTTTTTTCAACAGGGAGGGTAAACTGTGTAAATTTTCAACAGATCCCATCACTGCTAGTCAGTGAAACAGAAGAAATAATTATCCAGTGTAGTCATGATGACACTAACTTATATAATATGTTATGGTATCAGCAAAAAAGCATCACTGCCATGGGTCTAATCGGTTACATCTATGGGGCAGCCGGGGATCCAAACTATGAGGATGGTTTTAAAAATCGGTTCAAATTGAGCAGAAAAAACATGACTGAAGGAAGCCTGACCATCTCTAAACTCCTCCAGTCAGACTCTGCTGTTTATTACTGTGCAGCCAGTAAGCACAGTGCTGCACACTTACGCAACCACCTTACTAAAACCTCAAACCCTGCTTCAAACTGTGCATTGTTCACTTAAGACAGTTTAAAATTTAGGTAGAGATAACCAGACTGTGGCATGCTCTGGAGAGCTTATGAAACAGAAAACAGCCGATCTTGTCCTTGTTCTTTTTTTTAGTTCTCTGATTTGGTTTTGATCTCCTGTAAAAGTTATATGAGAGGGACCTACATTATATTAGAAATAACCTCCTATCAGTGTAATAATTGCACTATTTCATGCATTTTTTGTATTTATTTTGAAGAGATGTGTTTTTCAAACCCTTTCAAAAGCCTTTTTATCTGATGAAGATTTATATTCCCATCTGGTGTTTCATATGGAAACAAATGACATCAAGCTCAAGCAAATATTACAGCACTACAATACTATGAACAGCTTTTTCAGAAACTCTTCCTTGGATACGATGTCTCTGCTCAAAGTTTAGAGAGTAGAATAACCTACTCTAGTGTTCTACTACTAGATGTTATGATATTAGATGTAATGTGTTCTAACCAGATTTAAATACAGATATGAATGCAAATGTTTTAATGTAAACTTGCCAGAAAGGTTCACAGGGCATCTGTTTAATATTAGATATCATCTTCATCTAATCGCCACACCCACATCCCCCTACAACTAATTGCTACAACTCTCATGAATAACCCACAGAGCTAATGTCCCTGACACCCAAAAATAACTCTCACAGGTGAAAATTCCCATATCCACCAATTATCCCAACAGCCAGTTGCCCTTACACCTACAAATACCCCATTCCTTATGCCTGGAACACCATAGCAACAACCAAGCACCCCTAGCAATCACACACACAATATACTGTGCATCTTTGTTGTTCTTCCTCTTTCAGCTGCTCCCGTTAGGGGTCACCGCTGCAGATCATTGGTCCACATTTGATTTGGCACAGTTTTTACCCCAGATGCCCTTCCTGACGCAACCCTCCCCAATTTTATCCGGGCTTGGGACCATTACTCAGAGCACATTGTTGCACACCGCCCCAGTGGCCAGGGTTGGTTCCCTGGCCGGGAATCGAACCTGGGTCACAGCACTCTCAGCGCTGTGGCCTAACCACTAGTCGGGACCCGACACAATATACTGTGTATAATTTTCTAAAATTTTGTTTAAAGGGAGTTTTGTATGCAGTGCACTATGAAATTTGCAGTAATTAATGCAGTTTTTCAGGTAAGTTTTCACAGTTTTTTTCTTGAACCTGTTAGTAGATGGCAGTGGATAAAATGTTGGTATGGCAGTGCAGGGGTAGATCAGGTAAAGCCACCTAAGCTGTATGTTACTGTCTTTTCTTTTCCTTTTTTTCTATGTGACAGAGTTGGCTTCTGGTTTGTTAATGTAAAAGTTCCCAACCCTGATCCTAGAGTACCCCCTGTCCTGCATATTTTAGTGTTTTCCCAGCTCTCAACACACCAGATTCAGCTAATCAACTAATTAGCACTCCTTCTTGAGTTGAAGTGAGTGTGTTAGAGCAGAGAAAAGACTAAACAGTGCAGGACAGGGGCTTGGACCAGGGGTCCAAATCAGTTTTTCCATAAGCAATGGATTTTGATATATTTTCAGGTTCAGTTACACTTCTCTAAGGATCAATGCAGTTTGGGGTCAATAGGGGGAGATGTTTCTTAACCAGAACACTGAAAGTCTCTTCCTCTCTTCTGAGGACTTCCTGGTTTATTAAATGTGGAAGCTCATCACATCATCATACCCCACCCACCTGTAATAGTGCAAATGAAATGTAAATGCTCTAAAATGTCAGATTCACTCAGGCTGTGCATCAGAAGGATGTATGGTACTTACGGACTCTGTGTTGTCTTCATTTTGTTTTTCGGTAGGACATTTTTTAAAAAAGCATATCACCCTGAACAAGATAAAGCAGTTACTGTAGTTGACTGAATAATTGAATTAATAATCCACTCACATTGACTTTAGTACATTAAAATTATATTATAACTATTTCCTTTTTTTGCTTTAACAGTGAGGGCAAACTGTGTGACATTTCAACAGACTTCATTCATCCTAGTCAATGAAACAGGAGACATAACAATCAGTTGTAGCCATGATGCTAGCAGCTTACAAACAATGTTATGGTATCAGCAAAAAACCCAAACGGTTATGGATCTAATTGGATATACTGCTGGACGGACAAGTGATCCAAAGTACGAGGATGGATTTAAAGATCGGTTCAAACTGAGCAGACAGAGCACAACTGAAGGAAATCTTACCATCTCTAATCTCCTTCAGTCAGACTCTGCTATTTATTACTGTGCAGCCAGTAAGCACAGTGCTGCACATTTACACAACAGCCTTACTAAAACATCACACACATCAGAGGTTTGTTATCTGATGAGGTTTTAAATTACTTTCTGGTGTTTTATATGGATAAGGTGGCTGAACTTTACTATGATTATTTGAGTTTTTATACAAATGAAGCAACTGTTGCTCTTTGCATTTCAGTTCAGAAAAGGTCTATGGATTTATTTCTAGGCTGATCATTATGTGATTGTTTTTTTCTTTAATGAAAATAGTTAATTATGCCTATTTTCAAATGGTTTAATTTGAATTATACTCATATGTTCCAGTATCTGAACTGGCTAGTCAGCTAAACCACCAATCAAAGATCTCATGTATCTCTTTGTATTCATGGCATTTTGAATCGTTCATTGAATTGTTCTGTTTTGTTGCAAGACTGTCACGGAAAAATAGGAGGCGGATTCAAGAGCGAGTAAATCTAAGGCTTTTAATGAGGTAGCAGGCAAAGACAGGCTGAGCAGACAGTCCAGGGGAGCCAGCTGGGAACAGTAATCCTCCAGAGTTCAATGAACACAGCGCAACCGCGGAACTGTGAAAGAGCACAACATGAAAACAATGAACTGACAAAAGACAGGACAAACGCTGAGGTATAAATAGAGCCGGTAATGAGAGGCAGCTGAAAGCAATGAACTAATCAACCGTAGTACATGAAACGGCCAGAAGGGGCCGGTGAACCCATGAACTGTGACAAAGACATTCTGCAGGTGTGGTACAATTAGGAATAACTGCACATCTTTAATCTGCTTCAGTAAGGGTTCTCAAAGACACATTCAATATTTTAGCTAAAAAGATTATTATTATTATTATTATTATTATTATTATTATTATTACTACATTTTAAGGTACCAAAAGTAATTGGACAACTGGCTGCTCAACTGTTCCATGGCCAAATGTGTGTTATTCTCTCATTATTTTACTTACATAAGCAGATAAAAGATCTAGAGTTGATTTCAGGTGTGGCATTTGGATTTGGAATCTGTTGCTGTTAACAATGTGAAGTCCAAAGAGCTGCCAGTGAAGCAAGCCATCATTAAAAGCTGAAAAAACAAAACAAATCCATCAGAGAGATAGCAAAAACAACAGGTGTGGCCAAATCTAGTATGTTCTTAAAAAGAAAAAAATGCACTGGTGAGCTCAGGAACAAAAGGCCAGGATGACCACAGAAAACAACTGTAGTAAATGACAGAAAAATTCACAGTGCAGATGGACCCAAAGTATACTATGAAAGCAGCCCTAGACTTTTTTAAGGCAAATAAGTGGACTGCAATGGCCAGATCAATCCCTGACTTGAATCCAATTGAGCATGCATTTGCTGAAAGCAAAACTGAAGGGAAAACACACCAAGAGCAAGCAGGAACTGAAGACAGCTGCAGTAAAGGCCTGGCAGAGCAACATCATGGAAGAAACTCAGTGGCTGGTGATGTCTGTTCCAGACTTCAGGCAGTCATTGACTGCAAAGGATGTGCCCCCAAGAATTAAAAATGACCATTTATTTATTTATTCACCAATTATTTTTGGTCCCGTAAAAATTGGGGGACCACTTATAAAAAGTGCTATAAAAATGCTACAGCGTTTTGGATGTAAATACCCTCAAATTAAAGCTGAAC